TGTTGCCTTGCCAGACGTGTGCCGAGCCCCTGTGGGTGGAGCTGGGGGGAATATCGCTGGGAAGGCGACGAGGGAGTGTGGGAAGGCGACGGGGAGGGGGAGGCGAAGAGAAGAAGCAGCCGCAGCAGCAGAAGCAGAAGCAACGCGGGCGACTCTGCTGGGCTGTGTACACACCCAGGTAGTGGGGGTGAAGCCTCGGTTCGGGCCGAGAGGGGATCCCCATGGCACGCACTTCAAATGCCTCATGGCTGCTCTGTGCGGGGAGGGCAGGGCGGGGCGCGCGAGGGGCGAGAGACGTGTGGTGCTAAGGCGTGCTCTGGGGCTGGCTGCTGATGGCAATGCTGTAGCTGTGATGCTGGTGGGGCAGCGCACAGAGGGAGGGGGTGGGGGGAGGGTGCGAGGTGGTGAAAGGGGGGTTGGGAAGCGGGAAGGGAAGGCACGGTTGACAGGCGACGGGCAGGCTAAGAGAATGAAAGCCGGAGGCGCGGAAGTGAGCAGGATCGGGTTGGAAAAGGAAATGCAGAAACAGGGTCATAAAGGGGCGCAGGAGCAGGGGCGGGAGGGGGGCGAGGAGGATCAGGAGGATGAGGAGGAGCGAGAGGAGGAGGAGGAGGAGGAGGAGGAGGAGGAGGAGGAGGAGGAGGAGGAGGAGGAGGAGGAGGAGGAGGAGGAGGAGGAGGAGGAGGAGGAGGAGGAGGAGGAGGAGGAGTTGGTGCAGGTGGGGTATCTACCCCGCGGTGTGGCGCGGTGGGTGGCGCCTGTGATGGACGCGGGTGTGTGTGCGGTGGAGGGGCGGGTAGCAGCAGAGGACGTGCATGCTGCTGCCTCTGGCCGCTTGGACTGGCTTGTTCCCATCCGCCTGCTGCTCTGGCAGGTGCGACCGGTGGAATGGGGGTCGTGTGGGTCGTGTGGGTAAGTTCAGGGGCTTGTGGTTGGTGTTGCGCTTGCTGCCTCTGGCGGCATGGACTGGCTTGTTCCCATCAGCCTGCTGCTCTGGCAGGTGCACGCATGGAATTGGGTCGGTGCATGTCCTCGTGGTTGCTGCTTGGGCTGGCTTGCTCAAAGCGTTATGGTGATGTGGCATGTGCGACCCTTGGGGTTATGTGGGTTAGTCTATGGGTGGGTGCTTCATCCGTGCTGCATGCACTCATGCACCCGTTGTGGGTTACTGCAGCCACCCGAGTGCGAGAGAGAGAGTCGAGAGCGGTAAGTAACTGCTCCATGCGGAGAGTCCTGGCTGCTCCACTATCATCATGCGACAGCATGCCTGCTGCTGTGCATGCATCAGCACGCCTACGAGTGCTGCGTACCACGAGTCTAAACCTTAAACCTTAAACCCTCTAACCCCTTGACTCTCTTCCTTCATCCCTCTTAACCGACCTTCGCAGTGACGCATCGTCCCTTCTTCTTGCTCTCCCGCCCCCCTCATCACACCCCCCGATTCCCCCCTGGCCCCCTCCGGCCCTTGCAACCCCTCCCCTCTTTTCGTTCCAATCCCCTGCTTTCCCCACAGGGCCCTACCTTTCCCGCCCCTCACTCCAGCCGTCCACTTGTACGCAGCAGTGTGGGGGGGGCGAGAGGGGAGGCGGGAAAGGAGGGGCGTGAGTGGGTCGGGGACAAGCTGGGCGTTTCAGGGACTCGGGAGGAGTGCAGTGGAGTGGAGCGTGGTGGGGCGGAGTCAAGTGAGCACGCGCCATGGGTGGGCGATGGCGCCTTGCAGTGTGCTGTGGTGCGGCTGCTGGGGGCGCTGGAGCGACCCCGAGGCCTGTGGAGGCTGCAGGAGGTGAGTGCGGCTGCTGTGTGGTGGGGCTGGGTTGGGTGGGGTGGGATGGGTTGGAGGGAAGTGACGAGGGACGCAGTTGGGAGATGGGCTGCTGGCGTGTGTGTTTGCTTTCCTGTGTTCATTGTTCCGACATAGTGCTTCAAGGTTGTGTGAGTACTACCCCTCCCTCCTTTACTTCATCTTCGATCCTCTCATCTCCTCCCCCCACTCTCCTGTCTCCCCTCTGTCCTTTCCTCCTCCACAGGTTCTCTCGCGTGTCAAGTGGCCAAGCACCCCTCATTCAGAATTTCTCTATGGTAATTCAGAATCTTTCAGAACCGCATGTCACTCCTTGATTAAAAGCCGCATGCTGTTTCTCCATGGTAACCAAATGCTGCTTCTACCTGCTGGTTCACAGCATCCCCTTGCCGCCCTGCTTGTTTTACACATCCTCCCACTGTCTGCACCACCATCATGCCATGGCGGGAACCCCACTGCTGCCACGCCACATCACCCACCCACTCCATTGCTCCCACACCACTCACCCTCCACTTCTTGTCTCATCTACTCTTCTGCTCAACACTGTCTTTCACCCCCTAATAACACACCCCTCCTCTCCTCCTCGTCCACCACCTCCCCCATTTCCCTCTCCTCCACCTCCTCCCCACCATCCCCTCTCCGTGCTCCCACCCCCTTCCCCCGTTTTCCCTCCTGTCCCCCAGCCTCACCATCAGTGTGTTTCGGGTTTAGGGTTAGTGGACGTCAAGCTGGTGGCAGTGTTTGACCAGTCGGTTCAAACGTCACCACCCACCCTCTCCCCCATCTCCTCCCTCCCCGCCCCTCCCCTCCCCTCCCCTCCCCTCCCCTCCCCTCCCCTCCCCTCCCCTCCCTCCCTTCCCCTCTCCCACCCCTCTCCCCCCCAGCCTCATCGTCAGTGGGCGGGTCAGTGGACGTCAAGTTCGTGGCGGCGTTTGCAGCAGCGGCGGGCAGGAGAGTGGGCACGGGGTGGACGGAGAGCAGCAGCCAGGGCGACGGGGGCGAGGGGGAAGAGCGGCAGTCGTGCAGCAGCAGCAGCCAGGAGTCGGACCCTGGGGTGAGTGAGTGAGAGTGCCTTGTGTGCTGTGCTCTGGGCACGGGGGGTTTGCACCGAGAGCAACAGTGAGAACGAGGGGGGCGAGGGAGGCTAGGGGCAGTCGTGCAGCAGAAGCAGCCAGGTGTCGGATCCTGGGGTGAGTGAGAAGCTTGTGTGTTCTCGGTGGGTTGAGTAGGGCAGGGGGCGAGGGGCGTTTGGAACGCCATGAATGGGAGGGGGAATGGGTATGGGTATGGGTATGGGTATGGGTATGGGTATGGGTATGGGTATGGGTATGGGTATGGTTATGGGAAAGGGAATGGGAATGGGAATGTGAATGGGAATTGGTATGGTAGTGGGAACGTGGATCTAATAGAGTGGTGCGTGCGTGGTGTAGCATGTTTCAGTTGTTATGCCCACCCACCCCTTCTCTCACCCTCATCTGTCCTGTCCCTTCCTGCCATCTCCTTGCCATCCCATTGCCATCTCCGTGCCTCCCATCCCTTCCCCTCCTTCCGTTCCCGCTCTCCCATCTCCACCTCCCCCTTCTCTCTATTTCCCTTCCCCTTCCACTCCCACAACCCTCAACCTTCCTCTCCCCTCCACTTCTCTTCCTCCCCTCCCCCCCTGCTCGTCTCTTCCTCACCCCACTCCCCTTCAGCCTTCCATGCCCTCTCACACCTCTCCTCTTCACTCTCCTCCCTGCCATCCCACAGTGGAACGGCTGGGACGTGCAGAGGGAGGCAGCGTCGCCATCCCTGGGGCTGGTGTACCCCACCATGGCCACGGCTCTTGCTGCACGCGAGGGCCCTCAGGGCAGCCTCGGAGTGCTCTGCTTCTCCGATGTGAGTGCTGCTGCTGCTGCTGCTGCTGCTGCTGTTGGTGGTGGTGGTGCTGCTGCTGCTGCTGCTGCTGCTGCTGCTGCGTAAAGGCATGGCCATTCCCCCAGGCTGCTGCTTCTGCTGATGCTGTTACTGTAACGACGGCTGTTATGATGCGGTGCATGCTCTATGTTGCACGAGCCTACCGTGTGGACGCATGCACCATCCACCACCCGGCACTCTCTGCATATCATAAACTCAACGCGAGCCTGAGAGAGCTGGTGTGCGGCCCTGCACGTGCCGTGTCGCAAAGGGGGCTTTGAATAGACCGGGATGGTGCCATGTGTGACTCTTGGGAATGGTAATGGTACCCTACGCGCTCAAGAGTCATGCGTGTGTGTCGCTTCCTTCCTCCCCACCTCAACTGCTCCTTCCGTGTGCCTCACAACCGCTTCTTTGTGCCTCCTTCTCGCGGATCGCCTTCCCTGTGCATTTCTGTGCCTCCTTCCGTGCGTCTGTGCGAGCAGAGGGCATCGGAGCGGTTGTTGCAAGCAGTGACGCTGCATGACTGTGTGCCTCCACTAGCATCAGTGCACCGAGCCGGTGTGCCCATGCACTGCAAGGTGTGTGCATGCAAAGAGGGGAAAGGAAAAGGGGAAGGGGGGCGGAGGGGGTGGGGGGCGGCGGGGTGCAGGGAGGGGATACATGGGAGGGAGGAGGGGATGGAAGGGGGCTGGGGGTGGAACAGCGAGAGTGGTGCAGGGTGGGGGGGTGAGAGGTTCAGGTTCAGGGGAAGGAGTGAAGGGTGCAGCGGGAGGGCATGCAGTGTGCGATTGCCTAGTGTTCCATGCCCTCGCACATTATCCCCCCATACCATCATGCCACCGTGCCAACCAACTACTGCAGCAGTAACTAGACGTGTGCATGCCATTCATGCGCCAGGCGCAAAACCCCACTACGTGCCCTCTCATCTATTTGTGAATCACCTCAAAAGTCAAGCCTTCATGTCTTGCCATCCTCCAGTCCAGTGCACTTGATTATAGTCCTGGACAATGTCTCTCGTGCTGCTGCTACTAATCCCCCATTCCTATGCTCTCCGTGACCATTCCACTCTTCACCTTGCCCACGACCAGACAGGTGTACAGCGGCTCGCACACCTTTACACCTCCCCTCCCTTCCTCCCCAACCTACTCCTTTCCGCCCCTCCACATGCCAGGTTGCCATTCGCAGGTTCAACCCCGGCCCACCTCCCTACACCACCATACCCTCACCCACACCAGGCCCCACGACCGGGTGGGTGTACAGCGGGTCGCACAACTTCAGCCCGGCGGCGTGGGGGCGGCCAGTGAGAAGCGCCACCTGTCATGCGACCCAGCACCTGTCCCCCACTTCCCCTCATTTTCCCCCCTCGCCCCTCCCCACCCCTCCCTCCCACCTTCCAGGTCGCCATTCGCAGATTCAACCCCGGCCCACCTCCCTACACCACCACCAACCACTCCTCCTCCTCTCACATCCCCACCCCCACCACGGGGTGGGTGTACAGCGGGTCGCACAACTTCAGCCCAGCGGCGTGGGGGCGGCCAGTGCGCAAGCGGCACCTGTCATGCGACCCGGCAGCAGCGGAGGACCTGGGCATGGCGGCAGTGCTGGGGGACTGCCTTCACGTGCTCAACTTCGAGCTGGGTGTCGTGCTCGTGGATGTGCCTTCTCGCTCCGGGCAGCACAAGCAGGGGCAGGGGGCAGGGCAGGGGCAGGGGCAGCGGGGGAAAGGGCAGGGGTTTGTGGGGTTGAGGGAGGGGAAGCTAGGGCGGAACGGGCTGCAGGGGGGGAGGGGAAGGTGGGGAGGGCAATGGGGGAGGCAGCAGGGGCAAGGGTGCAGGTGGAAGAATGGCAATGCGAGTGGCATTGGTGGCTCTGGTGGTATCCAAGGCACAGCAGCAGCAGCAGGGAGAGGTTCGCGGCAGGAAGAGCAGCAATCACAGGGCGGCAGTGGCAACACTTGTGAGCGAGGCATGGGCATCGACCGAGTGCGCCTGCCGTTTCGCCTCCCTGCTCCCAGGTGTGCACTCCCTCTCGGACTCGCTTTGCTCGCAGGTGTTGGCAGTCTCGTATTTGCTAAGGATCACTGTGTAGTGAGAGGCTCTCAGTTTCAATGCAAGCAAGGCCTCCACAACCCGCCATCACCTCATCAGCTCCACAAGCCTTGCACAGCCCACCATGGCATGCACAGCCCATCTGTCACGCGTGACCGTCCCCCTACCCTGCCCGGCGTGTGTACCCCCACCGGGTACTCATGCTCTGATGCCCCTGCATCTGGCCGAGCACTCAAGGAGGCTGCTATGTTGAAATCACTTCTGAGAATTCTCTTATGTGACCACCCTTCCTGCACTGCCTGTGTGTGTCCCCACCAGGTATTCACGCTCTGACGCCCCGGCATCTGGCCGAGCACTCAAGGAGGCTGCTATCGCTGCAGCGCTTGCAGCCGCTGCTGCGGCTGACAGTGAGAGTGGTGGCGAGGGCGACAGTGTCCTCGCACATGCCGCCGCAGTTGCTGCTGCTGCTGGTTGTGCTAGTAGTGGTGGCAGTAGCTGTGCTATCGGCAGCCCGGTTAGTGCCGGTGGCAGTGGTGGTGTTGCTGCAGCTGCTGCAGCAGATGGTGCTGCAGCAAATGCAGCATCCAGGAAGGTAGCGCGTGCTTCCCTGCCTGGCTATCCTCTCTCCAACGCACTCTCGTCCGCCTCACTCAAATCCCTGCTGGGAGCGCTTTCCCCACTAGCAGCAGGTGCAGCAGCAGGTGCAACAGCAGGTGCAGCAGGAGCAGGAGCAGCGTCAGTGCTAGGGGTGGCAGAGAGGATGTTGCAAGTGGTGGAGGAGGTGGATGAGGAGGAAGGTGGGGCGGTGGGAGTGGACGCTGATGCACTGGCACGGGATGCACTCAGGAACGAGACACACCTGCTCCTGCACGACTATGCGTAGGCACCGTGGAGTGGAGGGGCACATGCTGCTGCTCTGAACTAGATCGTTCATGCCTTCAAAAAAATAAAATGAAGAAGCAGTTGATACCGTAGTATCAGTCACAACAAGTGTGCATAGGCTATGCCAGGCTGGATGGGCAGTGCAGATGAGTGGATTGGATTGTATCCACCTTGTTGCCGAGCCCCCCACGAGCCCCTGGCTTTGGGAGCTGCCGCCAAACCTAGGGCAGTGCGTGCGATGTGCATTCTGTTGGTGTCGTGCTTGGCCCTTGCAGTGGCATGGCTTGTCAATCAGGTGTGATACAGTAAGTGGTTGGATGTAACTACAACTCCTTACCAGAGCTATGTCGTCCACTCAAGGAGCCTCCCCACGATTGCAAATGCAAAAGCAAGCCATTTTGGTGTCGGACTGAAGTCGGAAATTGCGCCGCATAATATGGGCTTGGAAGACTCAACTGCTAGACCCTTAGCAACACAATTTGTTTCGTGCTATACACCAGCTGCTTGTTGTGCGTGTCATCAAATGTGTTATGAATGAACTTGCAGAGTGCGAAGTAAAACGAATATCGAGAATGATTGAGTACTGAATTACTGAATTACTGAATTACTGAATTACTGAATTACTGAATGACGATACAATGAGAAAGGCACGACTAAATAGGAGAAGTCCTAGCTAGGCGGAGAGGTTGGGAGAGGATGGCTCGGTGATGGTTGCGATTGGTGCGGAGGCGACTCGGGAGTGGTTCGGTGCGACGAAATAGGAAGGACAGGTTCGTCGCGTGACCCTCGGGATGTGCTTGCTAAAGAGTGCCTCAGTAAGGATTCTGTAAACCCTTACACTCTCCCACCTTCTAAATAAGGCAGTCCTGTACTGAAAACGGACCCCACACTAGGAAGGATGCCGAAGATCTCCCCTTCAGCTGAATCCGACGGCCGAAAAGCCTTCGATAATATTTTTGAAAAGGTTGGAAGGTAGACCGTCGATGTAGTCCGATTTTGATCTGACGGTCGACGATGAACTAGCCCAAAATGAAGTTGAAGTTGGAATGTGGGCCGTTGATGAAATTCGATTTCGATCTGACGGTCGACGATGAGCTGGCCCAAAGTGGATTGAAAGCTGGAATGTGGGCCGTCGATCGAGCAGATGTGGATCTGACGGTTGAAGACTGACGCGAGAAGGGAGGGAACCTGCTGACGCGAATTCAAACGCGATGTAGCAGAATCCGTCGATCCTGTCGGTGTGATCGCGATCGTCCGTCGTGCTGACGCAACCTGACAGAGTCAAGAAGAAATTCGAGAAAACACCAAGGAAAGAAATAGTGCAAAGCACTTTCTCCCCCCCTCCAAGAAAGCACACCAGAGAATGTCTCACAGCTGCGCCGAGATGAAAACCAACAAAAATCCAGGTGTGAAGTCCCACTGAAGCGAATGTCGAGCGTAGAAAGCCAGGTGAAGACTCGTCGGTGTGGAAAGTCGATGGCGGAACCGGGTAGTACGTGCCCCAAAAATCTCCGAGAGCTAACCCGTAGATGTAGACCAAAAACTTCAACCGAAATTGTAGAGTACTCGAACTGACGCTGTGTTGTCTTTACTCGCGAGAATCATGCAATATCTTCAGCAGTTGCAGCTGGCAGCACCTGACGTGTTTGAAATCAATGCAGTTGTCGTGGGCGGGTCGAGTGGATGGATTTGTCGCTAGTAGAGTTGGAGTGGCTGTATCCCGAAATCCTCTGGCCGTGACGTCGGGGCTGGTACGAAAATGTCGTCGGTGAAGGCGATTCGTCGTAAAGTAAATACGAGCGTCGGCGAAATTCGTTGAAGCAGTAACCGAAATCGAATGTCAGTCCGAAATTGATGTCGAGCGCGATCTAAGGTCGATGATGTCAGCACCTCCAGCGGTTTTGTCCATAATCGCCGAGCCATTTGTCGTAGTGCGCCGAGGGCTCCTGGGCAGGGATGAAAAAATGAAGCTGTCTCTCCCACCCCTTCACTGATGATACCGCCTTCTTCAGTTCGTCGTAAGTCGTTCGTACCCCTTGAAAACTCCGTGTAGTTCTCGCGGTGTTGCCCCACGTAATTGTTGCGCGCGTTTAACCGAATGCCGCATTCTCCTCCGAAATTGTCGGCGCTCCTAGCTGTAAAACCGGGAAGTCCCCACGTAAACACTCCGAAATTGTTGCTCGAATCAAACCCCGTAAATCCGCAGTTGCAGTTGCAGTTCGCCTCCGAAAACCTCGGACGTGCTATAGCCGCCCACTCGGTCACCATCAGTTTCCGTCGGTTACCCTACCCCAGCATGTGGGTTCAATCGAGAACCGGGGACTGCCCTGGGCTATTCCGAGACTGAATTTCACGGAACCTAGAGGCATCAACGCCGTTGACTCCGTCGTCAAAACTGCTCCCGTCGATGTCGCTTAACAAAACCTCCTGTTTCTCCTACCAGCGCTTTGCAGATGTTTTACCGCATCGCTCGTCGCCGGTCGATAAGTTCCCGAAGCTACGACTGCTTCCACGCTCCCTTTTTTCTGAAGAATTTCTCGAGGTGTGCGTTTAAACACCGGGGGTCCTGGGTCTCCTTGCCGTTGTGTTTCTTGCCAGGCAACTTCGACAAGTGCCCTTCAGGCGAGTCCCCCAACGACTCAACCGCACTCCAAGAAGCGAAGAAATACCCGCAGCTTCATAATTTTTTTGGTCGTTTCACCCCCCGACAATTCCGCTTCCCGCCGTTCACCCAGCGTCCGCATTTTTCGGATGAGGTATAGTCGGTGTTGCCCGCACGAACCCAGCCACGGTGGAGAAGAAAAGTATCGGAGTCGGGGTATCCTTAGTTAAAAGGAAATCATTCCCAACCGCTTTGCAGCCCACCGTGCCGTCGCGCCACTAAAACTCCACAGCTCCCGGTTCCAGCTCCGCCGCTGCGCCGTCACCTCGTGTAGACGCCCGGGTCAGGAGAGACCAGCGAACTGAACCATTGTTGTCATGCGGCGCCCCGATTTTTTCGCGTGCTGTTTCACCTAGTCCGCTTTTGTCGGAGTAGAACAGTGCCGCAACTCCACTTTTTTTGTTTTTTCTGTTCAGCTGTTGAACGAGCACGAATCCAGGTACCTTTAACCAGCACAGGGTAGGCCCGTGTTCACCCCCGTGATTCGGCCAAGCAAGTTGACTGCATGAGTCAGAACTAGAAACTTTGTGGGGATGGTGAGGTTCGGGCGACGGAAGGTCACAGATCGTTCACACCGGCTTTTAACCTGCCCTTCACGCCGTTCTTCAACCCCCGCTTAGCCGTCGGGCAGTTTCTTCCCGTGTGTCCCGGCGGCCTGTACCGACTCCTCCGTAAATGTCGGGCCAGTACGCTGAACGCCGTTTAATC